AAAAAATGGATTGGAGCAATTATATGTGTAGAGACCAGATCCATTAGGGTTGTGTTTGATGATGGGCCAAATACATATGGAAAGTATATATGGAGTTACGGTCTCTAATTTAATGCAACTTTTTATTCTTTGTATTATCTTATCAACACAATAATACAAGAGGAAGTATACTGAAGAGGAAGATCCAAAACTCACAATCAAAAAATGGATTGGAGCAATTATATGTGTAGAGACCAGATCCATTAGGGTTGTGTTTGATGATGGGCCAAATACATATGGAAAGTATATATGGAGTTACGGTCTCTAATTTAATGCAACTTTTTATTCTTTGTATTATCTTATCAACACAATAATACAAGAGGAAGTATACTGAAGAGGAAGATCCAAAACTCACAATCAAAAAATGGATTGGAGCAATTATATAAAAAAACAGGACAATCAAAATTATGGAGCAAGAAGCAAAATTAAGATCAAGAACTTAAGAACCAAAAGAGCCAATAATCAAGATTCAAGATTTTGTATTAAAACATCATTTTCAAAGAATTAAGGTATGTTCCGCATTATTATTTTTCTTGATAATTTGATATGAAAGATTTTGGCACTTAAGCAATTAGCTTTTCTAATTTTATAAAGTTTGAAATTTCATAAAGATTCAACATTATCTAGTGGTATATTTGATCACATGTCAGCATTTGAACTTTTAATGAAATTTCGCACGGTTCACGAAACCTTATCTCAATTGGATAACATGTCATTTTCTAATTGATGGTAATTTCTTAATGGATCTTCCGCCTAACGTTCGAGGCACATCAAATTTCCACAACCCCACATAAAAAAGTCGTTTAGATAGAAAAAGATGCATTTTACCTTAATCTAAACATTAATATAATACTTGTTTTACCATTTTAATTTCTAGAGTACCATTTAGTTACATGAAATATCAATTATTGTAACGTTGCCAAGTAAGCAATTTTGACTGATTTGGGGATGATAGTTGACAACGTGATGAGATTTGAAACTAAATTGAAACTCAATGATTAATCGAGATAAATTAAAGTTTAGTGATCCAATTGAATTTTT